AATTTTTCTATTTGATGACGTTCTTTGGAGCAGATACGTTTCCTAGGGGAGAAGCTACGAATTTTTCAAAAAAGTGACAGAACCTTCGATTAACCTAATAGACCGCCTTCTAAAAATTGAGCTTTCAATCAAGCATTCAATCACTGTTTGAACGAAAAACGGATGATGTAGATACGTTTCGGCTACGCCGCCAAAAAACTTTCATTGCGTGCCAGTCTACTGCAAAGTTAATTTCTAACAAATTATCTTACTTCACGATACTGGTATACCGACGTGAGATAACTTCGACAAAGTTGGGTAAGCTACTTGATGCACCTCCTCAATCTTCATGAAAAAAATATCTGTGACCAGCACCTGCTTCAAGTTGTATTGAACTTCGGTAGCTCTTTCTAAGCTGTAACTTGAGTGACTTTATAGTTATCAATAAACTCATTTTTAGTAATCTTGATCTTGCTTTGCTATAAACTTTTAGATGTTATTTAACACTAGGCTATAAAACCGTGGATCGAAGTGAGAAATGTTTGCAAGTTTCTAAAAGATGTCAATTTTAGCACAACGATGCTTCCTTGTGCGGGTCGGTACACATTTCAGTAAATATTCAAAAAAGCCAATATTCTATAGCAAAGTGAGGCCACGTAATGGAAATTTGTTGTGAAAGAGTTCGTCTTCGCAACCGCCTCTTTGTAGCAATTTCAGATACCCATTTTTTACGATCAGCGCGAATGAGCAATCCTAGATATGTAGTACCTGCTCGCTCAAGTTTTGCGATAGTGCCTCCAATTTCGAACCAGAATGATGACTCTCTAGCTCATAAATACTCTGCCGAAAAAGAGCAAAAGCTATAAAAACTTTATATAGAGCCTAAAGAGGCTCAAACGACGCATAAAAGCACAGATATGAACCACATGGTATTTTAACGCAAAACACACCAGAAAAAAAGTGGGCAGTACTTTTCAACGTGCTTATGAAGCCAATAAATAGAGCTCATTTTGGTCATCAATTCTTTAGCATAGAAAATTCTTGGCATGAGGATACACAATCAAATGGTACAGAAACAATAACACAGAATTTTCGTAAGCGAATCATTCACATTGAAACAGAATAAAACCCATAACAACTCGTATCATTTCACCAGATCTTTTACCCGAAAGACTGTAAAAGGGAGGACTGAGTCTAAAAATTGGTCTCATACGACAATCTAAGGTGAACCAAGGGGATGTAGCTGCTTTCCGCCGAGAGCAGTGATGGCTTTTGCTAACGATTCAATTATGAAAGTTCGTCTGGTTTCAATTTCACCAGGAAGAGTTTTCAAAACGCACATGTAAGCTTGCTTCATCGTTGGATTGTTGCGCCATTCCTAGAAGAGCGAGTTTAGGCAAATTATATGACACAAATTGTGTTTTTTGAACATTTATACCTGGTTCATGCATTTCAACAGGTGTTGAGCTCGCATCCATACTTTTTCATAACGGAGCATGCACTTTTCGCTGTCAGGCTCAATATCTGTGATATTCGATGCCAATCCCATCAACCACTGAAGAACTTGGACACATAATTCGACTTTCTGCCCCTCGGTCACTGAAAAAGGGCATTGCTTCACAGCTGTACAATACCACTCATAGTTTCTGAAGAAAAGAAAAAACGACGCAAAGTCGCCCGATTCATGTGACATCACCGTAACGTAGCCATATCTCGCTTCAGAGTGGATGGATTCTCAATCCAAAGGCAGAATTCGACTCAGCTCGGCGCGGCGCAACTTCTGATATATAGAAGTGCCAGATCGGGTACGGAGGTCAACTCCAAGACTCGTTTCAGATTTTTGCTTACGGTAGTTTGCACAGCGAGCGCAACGAGTAGGCACAGTGAGTAAACCTACCGTAAGCAAAAATTTGGAACGATTCGTGGAATCCGACCTCCTACTGTGTCCAAGCGAGCACTTCTATATATCAAAAGATGCTCCGCGCCAAGCTGAGTCGAATGGTGCCTCTGAATTAAGAACTCGTCCACTCTGAAGCGAGACATGGCCTCGCTACGGTAATGTCACATATATCCGGTCAACT